ACACGTACACACAGAGTCTATTCATTCATATCTGATCAGCCATAATCAGTTTATTATAATCCACACCGCTCAACACTCAGATACGGCAATAAGCAGCAGGGTTAAGTGTGTGTGCGTGTGTGTGTGTGTGTGTGTGTGTGTGTGTGTGTGTGTGTGTGTGTGTGTTCAATCAGGATCTTATTTCCATAGTTTCGGCCATCATTTCTACTAGTTACACTCATATTTTACTCACCAACTTAACAACTGAGAGCAGCAAAACTCTCAGTCAGTCAACATAATTAATTGCAAGTGAACATGAAGGTGAAAACACTGGAATTATTCTTCTCAGTAATTCACTGTGTTGGAAAAAAATATGCGTCCATAACAGGAAGTAGAGAAGGTCAAAGCTGAGTCAGAAAGTAAAAAGTTTTCCTTATTTTCACTTCCTGTTTTAATGTAGATTTTCAAGCAAACCTCACATGGGCACAGTGATGGAAAGTAACAAAGTACACCCAAATGCTGTACTCAAATATACAGGGTTAAAGATGTATTTCCCCACTGGAACGATGGTCTTTTCATGAAACTGAGCCGTCTGTGCAGGAGAAGGATGCAGATACTTTTGAAATTGGTGCTACATGAGAAGAGGAAACAGAGGAAAAGGGCTGTGGTGTTTGCTTTTGCTCAAGAGGTAGAAAACCTACCAGAATGCACTGCAATGCACCAGATTAATAAACTCCTGCTGGTGGGGGATGTAATGCAAGCTGCCCATTCAAAAAAAATGGCTGGTACCAAAGATCTCATATTACAGTTAAACAGTACGCTAAAATATTTTTCTGAAAACATCTGAGATGAGAAATATGCAGCTCAGTAGCAGAATTCTGCCTCTGTACAATTTGATCTGCTTTTTCAGCCTCTGTTCACAGACTTCCTGTTCACAAATTCTCGTATTACAGCCAAACAGTGCACTAAAATATGTTTCTGAAGACATTTTAGGTAACAAATTAGGGCTGCCCGCTAACAGTCGACCAGAAAGGTCATTAGTCGGCAAGCTTTCATTGGTCATTCATTGGTAATTTCCATGGCTGGTGCCTGTGGTTATTCCACAGGCTAGTTAATAACATGTCGGGCAGGAAATCCAAAGTGTGGGATCATTTTGAGAAGGTGAAGGACGAACCCAAGGTGATATGTAAACTCATCTTCATTGGTCGACTAGAAACATGACCTATCATCTGAAACATGGAAGTAGCTACATGCCCATTAGCCCACAGCGTCATTAACAGGTGTGATGTGCACTTGTAGATGAAACGGTGCATATCTCCTTCCATGTTGGGAGAGATTTACTGCCTCAAGTGAGAGAGTTCAAGTATCTCAGGGTCTTGTTCAAGAGTGATGGTAGAATGGAGCGTGAGATGGATTGGCAGTTTGGCCCAGCACCTGTGGTGATGCAGGACCGTCGTGGTGAAGAGGGAGCTGAGCCGGGACGAAAGGCTTTCGATTTACTGGTCCATCTACGTCCCAACCCTCACCTATGCTCATGAGCTCTGGGTAGTGACCGAAAGAATGAGGTTGCTGATACAAGCAGCCGAAATGAATTTGGGCTCAGTCTTAGAGATAGGGTGAGGAGCTCGGACATCTGGAGGGAGCTCAGAGTAGAGCCGCTGCTCCTTCGTGTCGAAAGGGGTCAGTTGAGGTGGTTCGGGCATCTCATCAGGATGCTTCCTGGGCGCCTCCTGCTGGAGGTGTTCTGGGCACGTCCTAGTAGGAGGCCCCGGGGCAGACCCAGAACACACTGGAGGGATTACATATCTCATCTGGCCTGGGAACATGTTGGGGTCCCCCAGGAGGAGTTGGAAAGCGTTGCTGGGGAGAGGGACATCTGGGGTGCTTTGCTCTACCTGTTGTACTCACAACCCGGCCCTGGATAAGTGGTTGAAAATGGATGGATGGATTTTGGACAAGGTAACATGATTTGGCCATGACTTGCTCTTCTGGTGAAGTGACTTTTACTCACCTGAAATTTTGAATTCAGGGCTTTTACTTGGAAGGAAGTATCCTCAAACAAAACTCAGTCAGACTTAAAGCTACATGAAACAGAAACTACAGCAAAGATTAATAAATATATTAACAAAACAAACGTAGTGTGTCTTTTCCATCCTGCTCACGTCATACTAACTGCGGATGTCACACACTCACTTTCTGCCTCTGGTTTCACTTCCAAACAAGTGGTTTCAATAAAACTGTGGCTTCGTTAACACGACCTGTCTGATCGTCTGACTGCTTGTGTTACTTCCCTTAATGGACTCGGCGTTAACGTGTTTCCATGTCCTCAGATGTCAGCGGACTGCGAGTTATTGAACCTGAAGGAAACGATGACCAGGATTGTAAAAAATGAGAAACATCCTTTATCATTCCATCCAAACATATATTTATCAGGATTAATTAATGACATTAGACTTGTGATGTGTGTGTGTGTCTGTGTGTAGTTATATGTGGCATATGTCCAGTCACCATACGTCCTTGCATTTGTGCTGTTGTCACCCACGCAATGCTATTTTTATCCCCAAGAGTCGTGAGGGTGTGTGTGTGTGTGTGTGTGTGTGTCAGGGAGTGTCATCAGGTTACAGTGTGTGTAAGTGGACTCCTCTTTGTCCCCTTTGATAATTTTAGACAGACGGCCGCTGAAACTTTCAACAGGGGGGTCAGATGCTCCTGTGCAACCTTTTCCACTGACAGACAGACAGACAGACGGATGCACACACACACACACACACGCACACACACACACACGCACGCACGCACACACACACACACACACACACACACACATACACACATTCACTCATTACCATAATTACCAATTTACTATAAAAGTTGAGTCTTTGAATTCAGGAATTCTGAACTCCTGGAAAACAGTAAATCAGAGTGAGATTCAGATTCTTTTACAATATTAATAGTTCAACAAAATAAAATCTACCTCAAATTACACATTTAAACAGCTCCCAAATACAAAAAAATGTCCCCTGGGATCTATATATATAAACCAACAGGTGATATTTTTCCACCTGGACTTTTATGCTCTGCCATTTCTCCTCTAATCATCACGCTGTAACCTGTGACAGGCTGTTATGATACCACAACTATCACACACTCACATATATGGAGTTTTTTGTCAAGCTGCGAGCGTGACGTAGGTTTACATCACCAAAGGTTTAATCAAGTTCTGCTTGGTAATTCAGGAAAAATTTGAGTTTATGAGATTTTTATTTTGTTAATTCAGAAAAACAAGAGCAGATTTATTTTCATGAAAAGTTTTCTCATAATTTTAAAATAAAAATCTCTTTAATTCAGAAAAACAGAGCAGATTTTCTTAACTTTTATCTTTTTTTTAATCTTTTCAACTTTTCTCATTTTTATCTCAAATTTTGAGGTATTGATCTCATTGAGTCAGAAAAACAAGAGTAGGTTTATTTTCATGAAACCTTTTCTCATAATTTTAAAATGATTATCTCGTTAATTCAGAAAAACAGGAAATTTATTTTTTCATGTAAACTTTGCTCATATTTTGAGATAATTTGTGTAATTCAAAAAAAGATTTTTTTGATTATTTTTTGTTAATTTAGAAAAACAGCAGATTTTTCTAAACTTAATCTTTTTTTAATCTTCAATTTTTCCTCACAGTTTTGAGATATTGATCTGATTGATTCAGAAAAACAATAGTAGATTTATTTTTTCATGAAAAAGTTTCTCATAATTTTTAAGTAATAATGTTATTAATTCAGAAAAATGAGAATCTATAAGATTATTTTCTCTTTATCTCATAAAAATGAGCAGATTTATTTTTTCATGTCAACTTGTCTCATATTTTGAAATGATAATCTCATGAATTTTAGAAAAATTTGATTTTTAAGACAAATTTTGTGGATTCAGAAAAACAGATTTTTCTTAATTTGTCTGTTTTTAATCTTTTCAACTTTTCTCATAGTTTTGAAATATTGATCTCATTGAGTCAAAAGAACAAGAGCAGATTTATTTTTTCATGTAAACTTTGCTCATATTTCTATTTCTATTCAAGAATTTTTTGACTATTTTTGTTAATAAACAAAAACAGCAGTTTTTGTTTTACTTTATCTTTTAAAAAATCTTTTCATCTTTTCTTGTAATTTTTTCAAGTTTTGCGATAATTTTGAGATATTGATCTTGCTAATTCAAAAAACAGAAAAATAGCAGATTAATTTTCCGTAAGAAACTTGTCTCATAGTTCTGAGATAATGATCTAATTAACGCAGAAGAACAAGATTTTGTTAGATTCTTATTTTGGCAATTCAGAAAAACAGAGCAGAACTTTTTCATGAAAAGTTTTGTCACAACTCTGAGATAATAATTTTGTTGGGCAATTTTTTTCTTAAGTGGATACCATAGAAAAGTACAGATTGAAACACCAGTACAGAAGTTTGTCATGTGACATAACCAAAAATCATGAGCAGAAAGTGTCAGTGAGAGTCTGATTGAGAAGATATGTTCAGGGTCTTTAAAGACACTCAGTTGTTACTGATGGATGCTGGATGGACAGTTAATACATGAATGTGATGGTGAAGAAATCAGAGCACAGAGAACAGATAGATAATCATATAGGTGACAGGAAATGGTAAGAGGATGTATAGCAGAGCGAGAGTCAGACACTGTACCACAGCGAGAAAGAGCGATGAGTGCTGACTCATCCTCTGTCAGAACAGATCTGTCTCCGTCACCCCAAAGTGCTGCTGGCAGTCTCTCCTCCAAGCTGTTCCCACTTCTCCTCAACCAAATATCTGCAGCTGAACCCACTGAAATGTGGTCTCACACCATGAATAATTAATTTACATCCTAAATTATACTGAAATCTAGTTCTCTGTGATTTAGCTGCTGTGTGGTGAGAGGGCTGTGTCAAACACGACGACTGACAGAGCTGATTTTTGCATCTCTCTTTAGGGCTTTTGTTTGTGACTGTTAATAAAGTTTTCTTTGTTTCGTGTTGTTTTCAGGAAAGCGATCTCCCGTTCAGGCCTCCAGCACCTCGGGCCACCCCAACCCTGCCTGCCTCCTGCATCCAATGGGCCCAACAAGGAGCTGCGCACCTGTGTGGACTGGACGGTCAGAGACATGCACACACACTTTCTTATTTATCCGTATTTAGTGCATTTAAATGTATGTTTTAATCTAGATTTCACACATGCACATTCTTAAAAAAACCTAAATGCAAAATGTTCATCGTGCATATATTCAAATGCTGCACAGAGAGACAGTCGTCCCTGTCTCCGCTGTCTTTGTTCTGTCTGGCTGAGTCACTGAATGACATTTGGATTTTTTCATGCCAACAGATTTGTTAGCAGACTGCTTTCAACAGCCGTATGTTCATGTGGAAATGAAAAGCAGCAATTTTCTTTTGGGTTTTTGATCATTACGAGAAAATGCTTTGATAAGCGAGCGTTGGAAAAAGAAAAATTTTATGTGTCAGGACTTTATTGTACGTGACTTTTCGCTGGGCTTGGATTTTAATGGATTTCATTGATGCAGCACCTCACAAACGCTCTCTCTGCTTTGAAATGTAGCAAAGGCCCGATGCTTAGAGAAATGTCAAGTTGAAATGGAAAGTGCTCTGAAAAATGTCACGAATCGACTCTGCAAATTAGACGGCAGTGGTCAAAAAGTGCAACGAGGCGTCTTCGTTTCGAGTGAAGTCCGTGTGAATGAAAGGAGGACATTTGTAAAGCTGTTTCACCTCACAAAGACGATGACGAAAACTCATTTCAAACCCGATATCTAGAGTAGTTCATGTTTCTGTGCCTCACTCACAAGACGGTGTGATGTTGTAAAATGCCTGAATTTCAGCAGGGAAAGGTCAAATCAAGGGAAAGTTTAGAAAAAGTAATCTGTGACTTTTTTCCTCATGAATTGATTTAAAATCTTTACCTCTTTACCTTTACCCTAAACTGACCCATCTGAACCAGGCCTTATCATGATAGTTATCAGCTTATCATGTGATATATGGACCTCAGTCATTTTGCTGACCTTGATATTGCCCGTTTCTTCACATAAGAATGTCACCAACATTTTAGCCAAAGTGACACCAGAATAAACAGCAGGGTTTTCCCGACCATTTTAAGACTCGGGCGCAGCGATTCTCCCTTGTTATGCCTCCACACTGGTGATAGCTGTAGCCAGAGGCTTTATGTCTTCGGGTGGTCCAGCCGTCCGCCCCTCACATTCATGTGAATTCGATGTCTCAAGAACTCCTTGAGGGAATTTTTGCAAATTTGGCACATATTTTAACTTAACTCAGCGATTAATTGATTAGATTTAAGTGGTCAAAGGTCACCATGACCTTGCATCCATCTCACACATGTGAACACGATATCTCAAGAACTCCTCGAGGGAATTTGTTTAAAATATGGCACAAATGTCCACTTGGACTGAACGATGCACTAGTTAATTTTAGGTGGTTATAGGTCCAGGTCACTGTGACCACTTGCACTCAAGGATGAACTGATTAGAATTCAGTGGCCGAAGGTCAAGGTCACTGTGACCTCGTCAGTCGCTTTCTTGTGAATGCGGTATTTCAAAAACACCTCAAGAGAATTTCTTGAAATTTGGCACAAACGTCCACTCACACAAGGATGAGCTGATTAGAATTTGGCGGCTGAAGTTCAAGGTCACTGTGACCTTGTCCTCCACATTCTTGTGAATGCGGTATTTTAAAAACACCTCAAGGGAATTTTCTTGCAATTGTCCACTTGGACTCAGGGATGAACTGATTAGAATTCGGTGGCCGAAGGTCAAGGTCACTGTGACCTCGTCAGTCGCTTTCTTGTGAATTTGGTTTTTCAAAAACACCTCAAGGGAATTTCTTCAAATTTGGCACAAATGTCCACTCACACTCAAGGATGAATGGGTTAGAATTTGGTGGCTGAAGGTTAAGGTCACTGTGACCCTGGGTAATGACATGAACATCTTATTGTTCTGCAAAAACACTTCTGGCCATTACTCAACGTCTTAACTCAGGAGCAGTCAGATACTGAATTGGTGACACTAATCTTGGGAGCCCACCTTGAAACTGCTGATTTTTTAGATCTTTCCCTAGGACACTCTGTCTAGGACACCCTGGACAGGTCACCAGACTATCACAGGGCTGACACATAGAGACAGACAACCATTCACACTCACATTCACACCTATGGACAATTTAGAGTCACCAATTAACCTGCATGTCTTTAGACTGTGGGAGGAAGCTGGAGCACCTGGAGGAAACCCACACTGACACGGGGAGAACATGCAAACTCAGCACAGAAGAGCTCCCCCACTCTGGGTTCAAACCAGGAACCCTCTTGGTGTGAGGCGACGATGCTAACCACCACTATTTCTGAGGCTTTATCATCAAACAACATACATTAAATAACTACCTAGACATGAGTTATTTAAATGAGTTCTTTTCAACCAAAAATTCAAGCAATGTAACACAAACATTTGTAGGTTGCACCATAATCTTTCAGACAACCCACTGCACACTCAGTCACTCTGCTCTGCAGTCATCACAAAAACAATCTACGATCCTGTGAGAACTGATTCTGATGATAGTCTGTGCAGAAATAACTGCTGCCAACTTTACCTTGTTTGCAGTGGGCCCAGCGGAGGGGAGGCAAAGCTTCTATTTTTATCTGATTCAACAAGAAAAGCACGGCTGTGACAGAGGGAGGTTTTTATTCCGAATCATCAGTGTATGAGCATCTTCAATTTGGATCAGGCAGGGCTCAGAAAAGAAAACAAAGACGGCACTTTGGGCACCAACACGGCATCGTGAACACTTCAGACTCATCGCAGAGAATCAGGAAAACGGTCAAAAATGCATCCCGTGGAATCATGTTTAAAAACAACAACGTCAGCGTGGACGACTTAAAGTCTCACTCTTGTAACAGTCTGTTGTGCTGTATAGTTCAGCGCAGCGTGAATCATACATGCATAATGAATATGAAATAAAACATGCTGTATTATTAATTTGAAGGTGTAAGTAGACAAACCCACATCTGAGATTTCCCCCTGGCTCCGTCTGCAGGGACACTTCCAGCACGTCATCGCTGGCCTTTAGCTCTCTGCACGACACACATACACACACACACACACACACACACACACACTGATCACACAATCATTGTACTTAATCACTCATTAATAGACACTTAGGGATTGATTTACTATGGCTTCATGGCTCCCTTTTAGGTGCTAATGAGTCACATAGTGTTTGTCTTTTACTCACTGTGAGGCCGCTCTGAGGTTTTAGCAAACTGACAGAAGACCTGGAAATGGAAGTATTTGCTGTTATGTGGGAGAGGCAGTAACGGCTGTGGTCTACCATCAGAGGGAAGTGAGAGACACTGAGAAAGATCAGAAAGCTTTAGCTCTTCTTTTCTCTTCATACTCTTAAGCTCATTTTGGTCAGGGTTCCTGGTTTAAACCCTGGGGTGGGGGAGCCCTTCTGTGTGGAGTTTGCATGTTCTCCCCGTGTCAGCGTGGATTTTCTCCAGGTGCTCCGGCTTTTAAGGTTAATTGGTGACTCTAAATTGTCCGTAGGTGTGAATGTCCAGGGTGTACACCGCCTCTCACCCAGTGTCAGCTGGGATAGGCTCCAGCCCCCCCACGACCCCCAACAGGATAAGCGGTTACGGAAAGTGAATGAATGAATTTCTATGACGTCATCACTTAGGAACAGAAGGGGAGACATTTGGGCCCAATCCCATTTCTACCCCTTAGATCTTCCACTTGGTTTTGAGTGCCCTCGTTTGTGAGATAACCCTTGATGAGGGAAGTGAGAAATATTAGGGCAGAGATCTTTCCCTAAGAAATGAGACACCACTTCATGCAAATCGGCGCGGCCGATATGCAGGCATACTTCACGCGTAGTAGCGACACAAGATACCGGTAGTCATTCATGTTCGAAAATGCCGGCTCTAGCGATTGGAGGCGCCTATGACGTCTTCTAGGTCCAATCAATTTTGTTCGGGTAAGCTGCTTTGTTTAAATATTTTGACGCTGTGTTCAATCAAGTTGCTGATGAGTTTACGCTAGTCCAACCATCTGTTGTTTGCAGTAAGAAATTGTTTTCCAAAACTTGCCGAAGTTGCTGACTTCGCAAGGTTTTCTGTTAAATTTCATCTTCCACTTCATTGAAAGTGTGGGTCGGGGCTCCCTTGAGATCTAGGGCGGGTTTTAAGTGTTGGAAACCACTTCCACTACCTCCATTCTGTTTTGGGACACCACTTGCCTAAATGTGAACGCGCACAACCAAGTGCAAGTGGGTATTTCTAGGGGAATTGTGGGTATTGGGACAGGCCCTTGGTCAGATACTGAATTGGTGACACTTATTTTGGGTGCCCAACTTGAGACTGTGTTGATTGTATAGATCATCTATGCTGCTGGGGGGAATATGTGTGTGAAACATCCATGTTTAGCTGCATGTGTACATCAGTCATGACGGCTGTACAGTGAACCTAGTGACATCCTTTACTGACGCACACATACATGCAGCCATACACACTGACATGTATGTGTGTGTGTATATGTGTGTATTTGCACTTGAATCAGTGGCTCCTGTAGTGTTTTGATTAGCGCTTTAAATTAACATGCACCGTGAGATTACCCACCCACTCGGCAACGGTAATTATGTGCTTGACACACTTGTTGACCGCTTTCACTGTGGAGTGTTTATGTGCATATGGTTACAGTTTAATGTGACTGGAAAAAGATCTTGAGTGAGAGATGCAGGAGGATAATGTGAGTTATTATATCATTGTTCCCTCTGTGTCACCCCGTCTGTCTCTGTCGGCGACTCTGCAGGAGAACGCAGTGAACGGGGATCACCTGTGGATGGAGACCAGTTGTTCAGGAGAGCTCTGTTATCTCGGAGAGGACACCTGCCTGCTAAAGACTGCAGTGAGTAGTGAACACTCTGACCACTCCTTTGTGTGTGTGTGTGTGTTTAGTTTTAAATGGCTATTGATTGACATTGACAGCAGACATCAATTAAATTCCCTCGTTAAAATGGAAAGAACCGTTGACTTTTAGAATCAGTGGGATGTTCAGATTTTTTAAAGTGGGAAAAGGTAAACAGTATTTTAGCCTCCTAAAAAAAAAATCAGTTGTTTGTTCAATTAACATTTTTCTAAGCCCCGCCCCTTTGTGATGGTCTAACAAGCTGTCGCAGTAAGCATGGAGCCCACGCTGTAACTAACTGCACTCCCTGAAGAAATATCATCATATTTTTGGAGAAAATGAAAGAGTGAATCCAGAGAGAAGCAGACAGAGGGGTCTACAGTCTGTGTTTGAAGGATATATCCAGGATGTCAAACTGACTCAGCAGCAACAACAGGTTAAAAAGACAAAGATAGTTAGAAGCTAAAGCCGAACTATAGGCTACAGATCACAGTGTAAAAGTGAACCACCACATCACTGCTGATCGCCACACAAGACAATGAATATAAAGGGAAACTCTGCTGATATTGAACCAGCTGTGTGGCATCACAGTGTGTGCAGATGAACGGGGTTTGGCTTCAGCCCCGTGCCACTGCCAGGGAGGGATCTCTGGGGGAAGTCAAACATTCATCTGCACACACTGCAGTCTTTGTCTTTGTCGGTCTTTGTTTCACTGTTATAATCATTACAAAGCAAAAGCAGCATGTGTATACATTCAGTAGGCTATATCTTCAGTAGCTAGCTAGCTAACCCTACACTTTTCAGGGTTTGATTTTGGTTTTGGAACAGGGAAGAAACGTATATATTTTTCCAACCTCTCCAGGTAACGAGTATCATTAATACACGACGTGCCCCAGGCACAACATTTAGCTCCAAATCCACAAAACCAGCCTGAAAATGAAGGAAATCTGAAACGACTGCTTTGGAGTCAATGGAGCACAGACCCTGGTCTGAGCCGGCCGATGCTACATTATGATTGGCCAGTCTGCGTCTGGGGGCGGGAATTATAAGGGTCAGTTGTATGTGATATTAAGAATATTCTAATTGCTTAGTCTTGCTGTCTGCAGCCCATACCATCTGTGTGTCATCAATGCCAAACTCCATTGACAAAACAGTAATTTTACCTCACTGAACACAGGAGCTGCTGGTCTACCTCTGGCTTGATCATTTGGTTAGTTTGTGTTACTGTGTTGGTGAATCCGAGCTAACTCTTTTAGAAGCTAAAGACACACAGTAACACAAACAAACTAACTGATCGAAGCAGCAGTAGACCAGCAGCTCCTGTGATCAGCAGTGTTAAAATACTGGTTTTCCCAGTGAGGTCTGGCTCTCGAGAGCTGTCAGACAGCAAGGTAGGGGTAAAAATATTCTAAATATAGTGCAGACTAAAGGCCTTTGCACACTGAGTCAGTTTTACTTTACTTTTTACATCAAAATGTGCGCTAAAGATAAGAACATGCTGAACTTCCATTTCTATCATCTCAAGTTTCTAAAATCTATATGCTAGTATATTTTGGATTTGTTTACTGATGCCGACTGATGAAGTCCAATCATGGTTGCTCACAGTTCATGCACACAGCACGTAGTCCCGGCGCTCTGTAAATAAAGTAGGATTTATCCTTCCAGTCTGAAATGCAGTCAAGTTATTTTAAACAGGATGCTAAACTCTTACTCTGATGATCCATGTCTACAAAGCAGCTGAAGAAGTTACTCAGATACAGAGGCAGTGAACTTTCAAATGAGCCTCGAGTGCGCAGAGTGATGCAGAAAGTGTTTAAATTACAGGTATTATGGACCCTCTCTGAGTCCACACACCCTCTTACAGAGAATAAGAGCACTGAAAATGGAAAGCTGAGAAACAACCTTTAGCACTGACAATGATATAATGGCATATGTGAACATTTTCACTAATGGTACGTAATTACAGTGCGTGTACAAGAATACTGTGAGACGGCTGCCTGTAAGACGGAGCAGCAGCAGAGAAAACAAATTCACTATAATCTCTCTGTCACATGTTTAATTAGATAAATATTCCATCAGAGCCGATGCTTTCAGCTACTTAAGAGAACAGCGTAACCTCTGGGATTGCTTTGACAAGTCACGGTTGACACGAGCGAACATATTCCTACCTGTGCTCGGCGAGATAAAGGCTGATTAAGTCTTCGTCATCAAGGAACAAGCTGAGAGTCTGAAGGATGCTGCAGAGACTTAAACTCATGCGAGAGTCACGCTGCAGAAGATGCAAGACGCAAAGGGCTGCACGGTGTGAGGAAAATATACAATAGTGTCAGACTTCTTTTCCCTTTCTTAAACATTGTGGCCTCAAAGGACCTCCTGACTCACTGATATTAATTCTTTATATCAGCTGTCTGCTCAGAAACTTCCTTACAACCATGATTGTAAGATCACGTAAACCCTCCGCCCAAAGGAGTCGTGAAGATGATAAAGACACACCCTCGTGTGGTAAACAAGTTCCTCCATTGACGCTTTTGCAATCTATGTGTCCAAACCCATCGTTCCCCTGCGTCTTATCAGTCAGAGCATCTTCAGAAAGAACATCTTGCTTCCTTAATGTAATGTATTTCTTGTTAAAGGAGAGGTTTGTGGTCTGTGTTTTGCACTGTGAAAACACCCAGAGCTGCTAACCAATGAGAAGGAAAGACTATTTTTTTAATGTGAGAGTAGCACTGTGTTGCCGTTAAGTGTTGCCCGCTTTAATGGTTCAGAGTGAACCCACTGACAGGAGCTGAGACCGCTCAGTTATCAGCTGTCTTATTATTGAACCGTAATGAGTAGTTTATGTGTTTAAGAGCAGGGGCAGCAGGGCAATATGATTTATTTGAGGCAAACAGCACTTAGCTTGAACATTTGCCTATTATCTTTCATCACCAATCAGACTGAGATAAATGGCTGAGGTTATCTCTGAGCCATCTTACACCTGCATATTTATTGTTATAATTGGCCATGTTTACTCAAAAATAGTGTTTTTTTTTCAGTAGTTAAAGGTGCAGTGTGTTAGATTTAAGTGGATTTAAACACACATAATGTTCCTTCAGTGTTCATTTATCAGGAAGATTTTACCAGGATCCCGAATTACTGCAGAGGTCTCTTCCACTCCAAAACAAAGGGACCCGGTGATATAGGGTGCTTTCACACCTGCCCTGTTTGGTTCGGTTCAGTTGAACTCAAGTTCGTTTGCCCCCTCAGTGTGGTTCGTTTGGGCAGGTGTGAACACAGCAATCACACTCAGGTGTGCACCAAAACAACCACACCGAGACCTTCTTGAAGAGGTGGTCTCAGTCTGGTTACAAATGAACTCTGGTGCGGTTCATTTGTGGTGAGAAGGTGTTCAGACCTGGATGTGAAACAACTGCAGTCACATGACACATTGTTTGGGTTAAACATGAGCATGTTACAGTCCTGGAGGATTATTAATGTGCACCTCCTCCTGTACTGCCTTAATATGCACATTCAGCACATCCAATGCATCAAAACATTGTTTTCTAGTTGGAGCCGCGCCTCATTTTCAAACTGTATGGTTTGACTAAAATGAACAATGACAGCAATATAGTCCACGATGAGCAGCGCTAAAATCAACCTGCGTAGTTGTCCCTCCATTGTGACATTAGAAAGTGTCACATTTATCTTGCAAGTGAACTCTTATGGAGCGCAGTTTAATGGAGCTGCAGGTGAAGGCAGTAACTGTGTTCACCCGTACATGTAATGGAAGCTTAAGTCATTTTTGTTGATTCTGAATCATGACTGGTGCAGGAAAATAACAAATTGTCACATGTCAAGGTGTCACTGTGCTGTTCATGCTGTTCAGACTGAATGGGAAGAGACGTGAAATGTGTGGGCAGCTTGAAAACATCTCTGTGTGTTTTTGTGTGTGCTTTTATCTGTGTCTAACAGGGTATATGTATCATCAGTGCGCCTTCCTTCCCTGCTGCTGTTTGTTGTGTTGTTTGTTGTTGTGTATCTCACTGCCCTCTGTGCTGTGTGTCTGTTTTTCTCCTTTAAGAAGTCGGCTCCCAGGAGGAAATGTGCTGCCTGTAAGATCGTTGTTCACTCCGGCTGCATAGAGCAACTAGAAAAGGTATCACACACACACACACACACACACACACACACACACAGTTAAGGGGATTTATACTTGTGCAGCAGACCTGACACCCTAGTCTACGCACGTGGCCTACACCGTTGTGAGCATTTATACTTGTGCGGTGGTGTGTCTGTGTCACTCTGCAGTTACACCTCCAAAACACTAGTCGGCAGTGGAGGTTTCTGTGAAGTGCTGTAAAGTTTAGTTGTTTCAAACACACAATAAACACACATTAAACATGGCTTAATAGAGACAATTTCAAACACAAGTACACAAATCAGCTTCACTATAACTCGCAGCATTCACAGACAAACACTTGTCTTTATCTGGACACATTTTCCCCACAAATACAACATGCTAACGTTATTAGAACAAGCCTTTGGCATTTTACATTGTATAAATTAGCCTGTCAGCTAGCGGACTTTTCCTCTACTCATATGAAGCCAGGGACAACAGCAACATTTAACAAAGGTAACGTTACAAAATTTGGCTCCATTACAACTCACAAGGTTCACTGACAAAACAACTGTCTTATACTAAACACGTTTTCCAAACAAATCTAACATGCTAACATTATTAGCACAAGCCTATGGCATTTTACATTGTATAAATTAGCCTAGCAGCTAGCAGAGATTTCCTCTGCTCATATGAAGCCAGGATAAATCACACACAAGGCTTAAAATGCTATTTTTGTGGAGGCTTTATTGTCTTCACAATTTATTGTTTCTAATCTATGAAATTAAAGTAAATAAAGCTGTGTCTCCATTGAGGGAAATAGTTTCAGCTTACAGAAACAGACAGGAGTTTTGCATCACCGCGACGTGGAGTTACATTTCTGGGGAGGTGCACGTCAGGCTACGGTGTAGGGTACGACGTCAGTTCAATGCAGAAGTATAAATTCTGCTTTAAGCTTACAGTTTAATGCAGACTTGACACACTGTCATTGAAGATAATTAAATTTTCTGCAGTATTGTCCTGTCGAACCACATTTGGGCTTAAAATGATTGCAGGCAAGTTACGTACTGTAGGACAGATGCATGCTGGGTAACTTGCACAACGCTGTTGCAGGCGATGCTGTTCTCAGTAGACCTGTCAATGAAAAGAAGAAGTGCAGTTTCACAGATTGTGTTGCCAAAGCTACCCACAGTTATGGCTATTTATAGCGCCTGTACCACTAAATCATCACGTCAACCCTTCATAACTGTAGATGATGTATTAATGTATTCCAGCTATTGAATACTCATGAGGTCATATCACATCCTGGTGCCAATATTTTGGAATAAAACTGATATCATGTGTTATGTTGTGCCAGTGTTCACTGTTTGTTTATTGTTGTCTTTGTTTCTGTGTCTCTCTCCAGATTAACTTCAGATGTAAGCCAACCTTCAGAGAGGGAGGATCGCGGTGCCTCCGAGATGTAAGTGTGTGTGTGCGTGTGTGTGTGTGTAAATATGTGGGTGACTCTGTTCAAGAGAGACAAAGAATTTTGCTTCTCGTGTTCTCTTTATACTTTGTGTGAAGAGGAAACGTGAGCGTGACGAGCATTTCTCCCTCTGACAGCAGAACATCCTGAGACATCACTGGGTTCACAGACGGAGACAGGAGGGGAAGTGTCGACAGTGTGGAAAGGTAAACACACACACACAGACACGTTGTTATCATTGTTCATACAGACTTACTTTGGTGTATTTCTGTCTGTTTCTGCAGAGTTTTCAACAGAAGTTCTTCCACAGTAAAGAAATAATCGCCATCAGCTGTTCCTGGTGTAAACAAGCGGTGAGTTAACACTAAAGATCAGGGCATGAGTCCCTTATAATAACATTGTGGCCACTTTATTAGGTACACCTGTTCAACTGCTCATTAACGCAAATAGCTAATCAGCCAATCACGTGGCATGTAGACAATTGCAGTGTCTCAGTTCAGGGGCTGCAGCCTTCGAAGGCCGTCCCACTCTGGAGGCTCCTTCGAATGCTGCCGAGAAATGCGCAGCTGGTTGCTAGGTAACAGTAACGCCAACGGGTCAGGGCGAGAACAACTGGTGACGCAACTAGGAAATCCTCCGCAAACCAGACTGTCCCATTTTGGAGACTGCTCGGTTTGGCTGATGTGGTTTGCAAAGGATATGGCCGACGTCGACCACAAAGGCTGCAGCTCCTGAATTGAGACACAGCTGTGGGGTTCATCCCTACATCCCTCCTCGACTCCTCTATCCTCGATCACTTGACCTAAGCACTTAAACCCGCCATCTTGAAGAATGTCTCAATACGCTATAGAAGGAGTCGAGGACAGAGGAGGCTTTCATAGAGGAGGCAAGCAAGGATACATGAGTGGAGCCTTTGCGGAAGTCTCACACTGACCAGCATGGGATATCAGTTATTGATTGGACAGTGCTGAAGCTGATCGGACTGATCTGATACATCCCAACATCAGTGGAGTTTCATACCAGAGAGAGGAGGGATAAGAGATTAAACCGAGTGTATCACTCCCAAGTTATATGTTTTGTTTGTTTTCTGAGTCACCATTAAGTAAAAAATCTGAACAAGAAAAGGAGCACAAACTATCTTCATTTATTAGAAAGACTTTTTTTCACAAGCTTTTATTTCCCTCATCAACTTTTATTAATTGCAATCAAAGTCAGAGAGTCTGTCTGTCACCAGGAAACACTTTTACATCAGTGATCGTCATGTGAGGCTGATCATTCCTGAGCGTCAGGGTGATGAGTTACAGAATTTCCATTTTTCCTGAAACATTCAACCTAATAAATCATTAACAGTGTTCAAAGGACACCACGGTCATATTCTGAGAAATTAGATAATGTACTCACAATCAGATGATCAATAGATACAGGAGCAAATAATGAATAGATTATACAAAGGCATTCTGTGACTGAATAGGACTCTGTAAAATATAAAACGCAGATTCAGGTGTAACAGAGACAAAACATAGGTACATGTTACTGGGTGAAATGAGCCTTTAACATTTATTTCTTTAAAATAAAATGATTGATTAATAAATAATAACAGTGAGTGTTTTTGTTTCAGTTCCACAATAAGGTGACGTGTTTCATGCTGCACCAGATTGAGGAGCCGTGTTCACTCGGGGCCCACGCTGGAGTCATAGTACCGCCCTCCTGGATCATCAAAGTCAGGAAACCACAGGTGCACACACACACATATATAAATACACACACACGCACACACATTCCCATCACAGACATCCCTCACCAGTTGGTCCACTGGTTAATAAAGTTCACTAGCTGTCAGTTTGTGACAGTAATGAGAAACGACTTTGTTGAATCTAAATATAAAAACTCTAAAAGAAGGCGTGTGTCAAAAAGTGTGTGTGTGTGTGTGTGTGTGTGTGTGTGTGTGTGTGTGTGATTTTTGGCTATGATGTGATATGAGCTGACACATGTCTGATCTGTCTGAGGGAACTCTGGGTTTGTGTCTCCTTCATGGCGCACACACACACACAGACATGCACACACATACACATATATCCCTCAGTCACATCACATGCTTCATTGCACTTTTAATTACCATCACAAGGGACATGGTGACAGTGAACTAACCACTGAACTCTGTGTGTGTGTTTGTGTGTGTGTGTGTGTTTACCCTAGAGCTCACTTAAGAACTCTGCCAGGAGAAAAAAGCGGACATCTTTCAAACGAAGGACAAGCAAGAAGGGACTGGATGTAAGTAACACTATGAGGACTTTATGTGCTCTTTAAGTGTGTAAACACAGAGGAAGGTTCACATTTAGATTTTCCTCTCACCTCAGGCTGACAAGTTTTACTTCCTGTTCAAAATGTCTTCACTGACCTGTCTCCTGCCTACACGTGTTTATGTTTGAGTGAATTTATTTAACTCAAAATAAAATCTTAGCCACAGAAAGTTTGTGAGCCGCCCAGTTTGACAGCCGACAATTCAAATAATCAGTCAGTGAGATGGAAGAAGCTGCAGACACAGACCCAGGTTGAGTCAGAGTGAGACAGAGGAGGCTACAGACACAGACCCAGGGTGAGTCAAAGTAAGACGGAGGAAGATTTTGACATAGACCCAGGTTGAGTCAGAATAAGACAGAGGAGGCTACAGACACAGACCCAGGGTGAGTCAAAGTAAGACGGAGAAAGATGCAGACACAGACCCAGGTTGAGTCAAAATAAGACAGAGGAAGATTTCGACACAGACCCAGGTTAAGTCAGAGTGAGATGGAGGAGGCTACAGACACAGACCCAGGTTAAGTCAAAGTAAGACCGGGAAAGATGCAGACACAGACCCAGGTTAAGTCAGAATAAGACAGAGGAAGCTGCAGACACAGATCCAAGATGAGTCAGTGTGAGATGGAGGAAGCTGCTGACACAGACCCAAGGTGAGTCAGAGTGAGATGGAGGAAGCTGCAGACACAGACCCAAGGTGAGTCAGAGTGAGATGGAGGAAGCTGCAGACACAGATCCAAGGTGAGTCAGAGTGAGACAAAAGCAGCTGCAGACACAGACCCAGGTTGAGTCAGAATAAGACAGAGGAGGCTACAGACACAGATCCAGGTTGAGTCAAAGTAAGACGGAGAACGATGCAGACACAGACCCAGGTTGAATCAGAGTGAGACGGAAGCAGCTTTCACATAGGTGCTGAAGTCAAAGAAGAAATGTTGAATAATGGCCATATTTACAGTGTGAACAGCAGTTTATAAGCATGATCATTTATTGGAGTGTCAAAAGTGTGTTTCCTCGTCTAACTTCTCTCTCTGTTTCTGTCTCTTTCTTTCTGTCTTCAGGAGTCCAAATGGCGTCCGTTCATGTTGAAGCCTCTCCCTTCACCTCTCATGAAGCCCATCTTGGTTTTTGTCAATCCCAAAAGTGGAGGCAACCAGGTCAGCAAACTTTAAAATCTTTCTGTAATGTATATAGTTTTGTAATATTCCAACTTCACTGTAATTTCAGAGGATATTTTTAGAGAATCCACTTTAGTTTATCTGCATCCCGGTTATTCTAACCTGCATTATTCAGCACTATTTTCTCCATGTCTATAAATAATTTTTATTGATAATAAAAATTGTGTGACCCCCAAATTTTAACAGCTTAACAGCCTTTCTGTTGAAGACTATTATACAGGAGATATCAACATGCATCATGACATTATCGGATTTTAATAAATGATTGTCTTTTATTAATTTACACCTCCATTGTACAGGTCTCAGCAGGGAGTCAGTGTCTGATTCATTTAATTTATTTAATGGTGTAATGGAACCTTTGTGCTCAGCCTCCATCAGGCTGTTTGAGCCCTGAGTTATTACGGTCTGCCACAACATTTAATTAGGAAGATGACAGTTCAAACAGGATTAGTTTAATCAGATAACCTGAGTTTGCTTCATCGTGACATCATGCTGGGTTTAAATTACAGAGATTCTTGGGTGTAATCACAGTAACAGGAGCTTCATCAACAAAAACAATGCAGTTAGAATGCGGTTTGACAATTGTTAATGTACTCATCGAGCAGTTGTAGAAGAAACCTTAATGTATGTTTCTCTGTGTGTTTCTCTGTAGGGTGCCAAGGTGTTACAGATGTTCATGTGGATCTTGAACCCTCGACAAGTGTTTGACCTGTCACAGGGGGGGCTGCGAGAGGCGTGAGTACCCTTCAGATGGGACAAAGTTTTGTTTTTTTTAGTTAAAATCCATCCCCTGTACCACATTCTGACTTTGACTGTCTGAAATAGACTGACTGACTTTTGTACTCTGCTTTATTTAAAGGGGACCTATTGTGCTTTTCTGTATTTTCTTTCATATACGTCATGTTACAATGTTAGATGTTCATATTGAATGTCGCCAAAGTTTCAAACAATGAGTTAAACATATATAAAAGTAAAGAGTGATCAAAAACCTCTACTCTCAAGATATTATTTCTTTACATGGTGATCTGCTCTAGGTACGCAACTGCAAGTGTTTACGTTACATACACTGCTACATGTAGCTACATGCTAACGTCAGAGAAACCTGTAATCTTGGTTGCTGATGTTAGTAGTTTCTCCCTGATTTTGGATCATATTCCTTAAAAGACAGGTGCTAAACCAGAGTGTCTGAGGCCATATCCACACTTATAAAATACATTTTTAAAATGGTTTTAAAATTTAACATATAATTTTTTTAAAAATGTGTAAAATTTTAAAGCAAAACCTATTTCTGTGCACACAAGAGTTTCAGAAATTATCTCTGTCTGTGCTAACACGCCTGAAAATGCATATCACATGGAGATTCACGTACACTAGACATGTGCATGCTGATGTAAACAGGAAGCAAATACTCTACTCTGCGGTTGGTTGCTTCGTTACAGAAAATACTTGACAGCAGAGATTTCTTTGCTCGTACTGACGACGTAGCTGAATGGTTACTAAAAGTAAGACATGAGTATAAGGTGGCCAAGGTGGTGGAAAACAAATTAGGAGTCTTTACAAAGCGAATACAGCGACATGTCAGAGCAGTAACTGGATCAGTATGCAAGACTGGAGGAAGCCACGGCGATGATAAAGCAGTATCCAGACAAGATAGATGAAATCACAAACTGTATTTAGACTTAGCTGCAATGTTTTGTATTCTGACCAATCAAGAGCAGCTTTCTCGCACAAGGCATTTGATCTGGTCCTCTTGTAAATCCTGCCGTGAGAACATGAACCAACTCTAGGCAATTATACAACTTTGTACAACATGAGTTCCTGATTCAGACCAAAGGAAACAACTCTAGGTCTGAAAGCAACCTATGAGGAAAGTAAAGTGTTTATTTGGCTATTAACACACGTGAACATGCTCTGGTAGAAACCCAAAATAAAAGTAAGAACCTGAAAAGCAGCAGAATAGGTCCCCTGTGACTATAAGACACTTCATGAGTGTGTAACGAATGCACTTGTGGAGAAACTGTTTTTTTTTTTTTTTTTTTTTTTTTTGTAAAGCAATTTTGTGATCATTTCCCATTTAAATCTACATTTTACATCACACTTTTATCACAATCCACCCCTGAGGGAAAATGCTGCATCTTCTCACTTGAGTTTCAGTCATCATCCTCTTTTATTCAAAACTCGTGGGTCCCATGGGTCGAGCAATTTTTCATGAAACTTGGACCGATTACACCCACTCAACACCAATCAGCACTGCTTTCTGCTGGAGAAGCCTCTTTTATGCTACAACCAGGCCTCTCTCTGCTTTGTGCAAACTGTCAGGTTGGAGTTGTATCGGAAAGTGCCAAATCTGAGGATCCTTGCCTGCGGAGGGGACGGCACGGTAAGACTCTCTTCTGCTATGATCTGTTTCTATATGCTCCACCATAGATATCTGCAGCTCATACTTTCTGTGTGTGTCTCTGTAGGTGGGGTGGATCCTGTCCGCTCTCGACGAGCTGCAGATGAACCCCCAGCCTCCGGTCGCTGTTCTTCCTCTGGGAACAGGAAATGACCTCGCCAGGACGCTCAACTGGGGTGGGGTGAGTTGCTAGCCTTGACTTGTGGGCGGCAGGACGTGGCAGCTTCTCCTCCCTGTGCATATTCATTCATTTTAGTGTCTGTTTAATGACTTTGAGCTCAGGTCGGGATTAAAATAACTTAGATGAAAGTGTGAGTATCGCTGTGGGGTGGTCGCAGCTGGAAAATGATATTAAGATACGTTTAAGACAAGCAGCAACAGCAACAACACTTCCAACATCATTTAAATAGAGATGTGAGGATAAAATTAATATATATGTATATACAGGATATTTGTATAGACATCTAAAAAAGCAAGGCTATGGCCTGGACAAATATACAGAATGCAAATATCTAAGCGTGAATTATGGTTGCTATGTAGTTAAAATAAATCTGATATATGCCTCTCAGACACCTCTGGGAGCTACAGAAAAATGCACAACATTCCAGGAAGTCTACGACAGTGTTCTTCCTGCGTTACTCTTCCTCTAAACCCCGACATGTAGCCATTGTCTGAGCGCTTCAAGGCACAGCACGTCATGTAAAGATGACACAGTTGTTGTTGTTGTTAACACTGTACACGTACCCTTTAAGTCTGTCTGATCTGTTGTATGTGTCAGTGCAGCATTAAACATGTTGTCTTCCTTAATGCAGTAACATTAGTGCAACACAAAATCAGAGTCACAGCAGAGGGACCTCTTCAGCAGGTTTTATTGGAATCAAACACAGAACTTAACTTTCCAGCAGCTTCTTTTTAGATTGCAGAGAGCTGAAAAATCTATAGGTCAACTTTTGCAGTTCACGTTAGTCATACTTTTTGAGTTTGTCGACTGCACTGACATTGATTTTTCTTTCAACCCTTCAATGTCCACACTAAGAAAAAAGCAACAAAAATATTTGCACAATTATTTCCTCGGGGCAAAAAATAGCAAAAATCATTTATTCTAGATATTTACTATTACTGTGCTTCAAAAACATCTCAGAAGTGTTGAAAAATCTCACAGATGTAATTATTTTCATCAAATATAAAATGGAACAACCACGCTGTTGGTAATATCATGTATTTAATGTTATCCCATTTTATATTTGATGAAAATAATTATATCAGTGTCCTTTTTTTTTACTTTTCTGACGTGTTTTTGAAGTACAGTAATAGCAAATATCTAGAATAAATATGTGGAGATAATACTAGTACTGGTAACACTACTAATTCCATGGTAAAAGAAATTGTATATGATGCACACATGGGCTACTCCATTGTGAGCATTTATACTTGTGTGGTGGTGTGTCTGTGTCACTCTGCAGTTACACCTCCAAAACACTAGTCGGCGGAGGAGGTTTCTGTAAAGTGCTGTTAAGTTTAGTTGATTCAAAACACACAGTAAATACACATTAAATACACATTGAACACACATTAAACAGGGGTTAATAGCATCAATTTCAAACACAAGTACACAAATCAGCTTCACTATAACTCACTAGCCTGGAAATCCAGACTCACATCTAGAGAGATTTTGAGTCTGGCCCTCACTGATACACCCTTCCTACCCAAGGGGCGCCACTAACTGAGACATTTCAAATGCCGCCGCACGGAATTGGATAGCACGATGGCCAATCAGAGCAAAAAACAAGGTGACGTATTCATTGCGCTAAGCCCCATTTGTTTGCTGAACAGTGGGGCTAACCGATATATTATGCTTTTACTGTATCCCGTCTGCAAAACAGCAAAAACGTCCTTCCTGGAAGTGAAGGCTTCAAGGGCAGTCTTCTGTTCCTCTCTCAAGGAAAAAGATAAGTGTAGTTGGCTTAGCATTTCTTCCAAAGTTAAACTGAATGACATTTTCCCCACAAATACAACATGCTAACGTTATTAGCACAAGCCTGTGGCATTTTGCATTATATAAATTAGCCTAGCGACTAGTGGACTTTTCCTCTACTCAAATGACAGCAGGGACAACAGCAACATTTAACAAAGGTAACGTTACAAAATTCAGCTCCATTACAACTCACAAGGTTCACTGACAAAACAACTGTCTTATACTAAACACGTTTTCCAAAAAAATATAACATGCTAATGTTATTAGCACAAGCCTACGGCATTTTACATTGTATAAATTAGCCTAGCAGCTAGCAGACTTTTCCTCTACTCATATAAAACCAGGGACAACAGCAACATTTAACAAAGGTAACGTTACAAAATTCGGCTCCATTACAACTCACAAGGTTCACTGACAAAACAACTGTCTTATCCACCTTATTTTTCACGGAAACACGGAGGCAAAACAGAACGCAGCCAGCTTCCGTTTTTTTGTGCGACACTTCAGGTCCAGCACTCTTACCACTGTGTAAATGGGAATCCCCTTGTTGTTTACCTTGCTGAGTTTAGCTATATATATATATATATCACATTTTTCACGTCACTATATCACCGTTTAGACTAATCTGATGTTTGTAAAGTCTATAAACACAATGACTGAACAAACATTAGTATTTTCTCTGTGTGTAATTAATAACATCGTAATCGTAGAGTACTAACTGTTAGCTGTTAGCCGTTAGCCGTGTCTGTAATAACTCACTAAACTCACAAAGTGGCCCGTGAAAAAAATATTTTCTCCAGCGGATGTCTTAGTTACAACATGATTGAGCTAACTGGAGTAGTTTCATGTCATATCCGACAACGGGAGGCTTTTAACAGATGATGATCCTGATGTTAGCTTTGCTGCTAGTGTTAACGTTAGCTGTCCCTGTCAGCTGCAGCCACTGATGCTTTCTAGACATCGTGATTTCCCAAAACTGAATAAATACCACACATAGCAACACAAAACTGCTTTGCTAGCTCAATCATGTTGTAACGGCTGGATGGTTGATGCGTACATGCTGATTCAGGTGCTATCAGAGCCGATCCGCACATCACTATGGCTTAATGATCAACTCAGTCAATTAAAACAACCCGTCCTGTGTTAGGAGTGTATGTCGCTGACAGAAAGAAAGAAAGAAAAGGGAAAAAAGATAGAAAAGCAGCGTACACCTCACATATTTATTTCTCACAGGTGCGCACACGTGTGGCTGGCATGCAGAAGCACCGTCTGTGTGTCTGTGTGTCGAGGGTGCGAGCCGCAGCTTCAGCTGCTCAGGTAGAGAGGCTGTGTAGCCCGGTGTGTTTTTTCGCTGATTCGGTTCTGCAGGTTCTCTGCTGGTACACTGGAGACGGGGATCAAGCAGTTTGTCTCACTCGGGATAGATTGTGCTTTTTTGGTTCATAGTTTATGATTGACGTGCGATTTATTCGCGTTTAGAGGGAATAAATTTCCGTTATAACGGAAACGTGGGCACAGTTATCTAACGTTATACAAAATACACAGACTAACTAACTAACTAACTGATTGACTAACATAAACAACTGAAAATTGAAAAAAAATTAGCTTGCACCGTTAGCTCCGGTAAGGGAAAGCATGAGGGAAAGCGGCTGACCGGAAGTCACACACAAAAAAACGGAAGTTGATCACTATTTACTTCCGTGTTTGAAAATAAGGTGGATACTAAACACGTTTTCCAAACAAATTTAACATGCTAACGGTATTAGCACAAGCCTATGGCATTTAACATTGTATAAATTAGCCTAGCAGCTAGCAGAGATTTCCTCTGCTCATATGAAGCCAGGATAAATCACTAACAAGACTTAAAATGCTATTTTTGTGGAGGCTTTATTGTCTTCACAATTTATTTTTGCTTATCTGTGAAATCAAAGTAAATAAAGTTTCGTTTCCACTGAGGGAAATGGTTTCAGCTTACAGAAACAGACAGGAGGTCTGCGTCACTGTGAAGTGTAGTTACATTTCTGTGGAGGTGCATGTCAGGCCACAGTAGGGTACGGCGTTTATTTGATGCAGAAGTATAAATCCTGCTTAATACTATTGAACCTCTGCGACACCAGTGCTATCCTACAGTACATACAGGACCTGACAACAATCACAAACTGCTGCGCGAGTTGTTTTTCCCTTTTTATAAAAGTACGAGCCGCCCAGAGGAGGTGGCTGAAACTTATAAAAGTAGAATAATATGCATCATCCTGCTGTATGAGGGCACTTTGGACTCTCTCAGTTTGTGACTAAAATAAGGTGAAGTGCTGAAACATCCAGAATCTGCCCTTTGACACACACACACACACACACACACACACACACACACACATTGCATAACTGTACTGCAGCAGAGAAGGAGAGACCTTTACAAGCCCACATTCTTCCATTAGGCTTGTCTTTGGACCAGTGGTGTGGGCATGTAGTTATGATAATACATCTAATACCTCTGCATGAGTCAGAACCTCAAATGGGTTTCACTTATTTGACTTTGCATTTCATCATTTTCTTATTTTATTGACTTGATCAGAGGCGATGGCGTCAACCTGAATCTCACTGACTTCAGTTATGATAATGCTGCTAGTTTACTGTCACTGAATGTGCGTGTGTTTCAGTTTTTGTGTGCACAGTGGAGAATAATGGTCGAAGGACGAGAGAGTGACTTTGACAGGATTGTGCAGAGGAAGTGTGATGCAGAGACAGATTGATGCTTTGAACAGAGATGGGACTGAAACTTCATATCTACCGTGTGTGTAATTAGTGTAATTAGTGTGTCCCTTTGTCCTCTGTTTCACAGAGTCTCTGACTGCAGGTTTTTTTATCCACTTTGTCCTGTTCCTTTGTTTCTCCTTTTCCTGTCCTTTCCTTTCCTTTGCCTCTTTCTCCCTTTCTTTCTTTTTTCATATTCTTTGCTTGTTTCTCTTCCTTGCCTTCCACTCATTTCCTCTCAATCCATTTCCTTTCCTTTGTTTCCTACAACATCCCATTCTTTTCCTTTATATTCATTCCTTTGCCTCCTTCTCACTTTGTCCTTCCTTCATATTATCTTTCCTTTCCTTTCCTTTCCTTTCTCTTCTTTCATTTTCTGTTCTTTCCTTTCCTTTCCTTTCCTTTTCTTACCTCCTCTTTCCTTTTGTTTCCCTTCCTTGCCTTTCTTCCCCTCTCCTTTTCTTTCATTTCCTTTCCTTTCCTCTCCTTCTCTTTGCATCCTTCCCTTCTCCTTCTCCTTTCCTTTCCTTTCCTTTCCTTTCCTTTCCTTTCCTTTCCTTCTCAATTCATGTGCTTCCTTCTCCTTCCCTCTCTTTCTTTTTCCTTTCATCTCCCCACCGCGTTTCTCTTTCTGCACCTGCCCTCTCGCTCTGTGTGAGTGTGAATGACCCTGTGACTCACTGTGTGTCAGAGTGTGAGCTCTGCTGTGTGTGTGTGTGTGTGTGTGTGTGTGTGTGTGTGTGTGTGCCTCAGAGGAGGCCCCGCTGATGAGCGCTACTATCATCAGATTGTTGTTTTCTCCTGTTCTTGTGTGTGTGTGTGTGTGTGTGTGTGTGTCACTCACTGCAGTCCTTGGTACATTGATTTCCTGACCCTGTCCAATAAAGAGCAGACGACAGGGAGACACAGGATGGAGAGAATAATGAAAGAGAGACAAAATAGTGTCCATTAGAGGGACCTGGTCTGAATGAGTAATGTGACAGAGGGTAGAGAGACATGGATTGATGACAGGATGAAAGGGACGAGCAAGTGTATGTGTGTGTGTATAAAATGCCCTCATGTATACACGAGGTTTGGTGTGTGTCTATGCTCTTAAGGTAATCATGGTGTCAGTGAAGCAGCCTCAATGACCACTTATTGAGAGCCAATCATTACAGGCTCTCTCTGTCTGTTCCACTCCTCATCCTCTCACATCATTTGTACGTGTGTGTGTGTGTGTTGTGGCCTTTTTAGCAAAGAGATGAGGGGGGATGAAGAGTTGGTGGTCTGACAGGTAGAAAGAAGGAGAGATGCTACAATTTAGCTGCAGACGACATCATCCTTTCATCTCCTTTTCCCCTCCCTCAACATAATTTCTCCAGTCCATCTGCATCTCAACACCTACTCATGACTAAGAATTTTCCTAGTCGTCCAATAGTCGTCATTATAGTCCATTAGTCGACGAGTCGCACGCATGTTTACAATAATAATGAAATGATTAAATGATATATTTTGGTAGTTTGAGTTGAAGGTGTGAGAAAGAATAATATCAGTAACATTGTTAACACTGTGCTACATTACAGAGAAATACAAAACCGTACTAATGAACCTTCATTAATATAGGCCTATATTTTATCTACAAGTGCACGTCACACACAGAGCGAGCCGCCTGTTAATGACGCTGTGGGCTAATGGGCATGTAGCTACTTCCATGTTTCAGATGATACGTAATGTTTGTAGTCGACCAATGAAGATGAGTTTACATATCACCTTGGGTTCGTCCTTCACCTTCTCAAAATGATCCCACACTTTGGATTTCCTGCCCGACATGTTATTAACTAGCCTGTGGAATAACCACAGGTACCAGCCCTGGAAATTAACCTGACTCCTGTCTGACTGCCGAGCGTGGACACTTCAAATTGAATTCCCACAAGTTTCCCCGAACTGTTGCCACAAAGTTGGAAGCATAGCATTGTCCGAAATGTCTTGGTATGCTGAAGCATTTAGATCGTCCTTCGCTGGAGATGAGGGGCCCCATGCCATTATCCCTTCTCCTTCAAACTTCACAGTTGGCACAATGCAGTCAGGCAGGTAACGTTCTCCCAGCATCTGCCAAACCCAGACTCGCCCATCTGACTGCCAAACAGAGAAGCATGATTCGTCCCTCCAGTGCAAGCTCCGAACTCTTCAGCTGTGGAATCAGCAGAACGTTGGCGACTTGTACGCATTGTGCGCCTTAGCAGTCGTTGACCCTGCTCTGTGATTTTACATGGTCTTCCACTTTGTTGCTGAGTTGCTGTTCTTCCTAAACACTTCCACTTTCTAATAACATCACTTACAGTTGACCGTGGAACATCCAGCAGGGATGAAATTTCATGAACTGTCTTGTTGCAAAGATGGCATCCTATCACAGTACCATGCCTGGAGTCACTGAGTTCTTCAGAGCGACCCATTAAATTTTGTTGAGGCAAAAAAAAGGAACATTTTTCTGCAAACTGGGGTCCCTGAACCCTGTCTGTGTCTTGGAATTACATAAACTGGGTTCAACAGCTGACCCGTCTGTAGTGGAAGTACTGGCTCAGCGCTGTAACTGCTGACTGTGTATGTAACGTAATGAGAGTTCACTCCTTCTCTGCCTCTGTTTGTGTTGGTTGAAGTACGTTTGATTCTCTCTGCAGGGTTACACAGACGAGCCGGTGTCCAAGGTCTTATGTCATGTGGAGGACGGTTCAGTGGTGCAGCTGGACAGGTGGAACCTCCTGGTGGAGAAAGGTGCTGGGCAGCCAGAGGAGGGCACACAGAAGGTCAGGAGTCAGCTT